AAACTTTGTTGACCAAAAGCAACCTAGTTCCTGGCCTCTACAGCCGTATTACACCGGCAGTTGGATACTCTAGAAGTAGCATAAATACCAATTAATGATTCAGTTATATATATATATATATATATATCTATATCTATTGATATATATATATATATAGAGGATGACCTAATCACCAAGATCCACAATAACAATGAAGACAATGACAAAAATCATGGTGACGATCGATGATAGTGCTCGTCGAGGCAACTTGGTGTATCAGGAGATGACGACAAGACAGCTGCGGATGGTGGAGGCAACTCAGCATATCCTTACAACAGGCATGCATGAGGACAAATGAAGTCCCAGTCTGACAATACCGGCTGACAAGACCAACTTTTGACCATTCCCAGAGTGCCGGCTCCCAAAATGGTGGACGACATGGCTTGAATTGAAAATCTAGTGGCGGTATCATTGTCCCAGTGGTAACCAGTGTAGGAAAGAGTGGGACCGCTAGAAACTGAGATATCACCAGTCATAGTCAAACCCTAACCCTCCTTTTCTTCATGACAGTAGCGCAGCAGCATCCATACCTGTAGACGGTCCAGTCATCTTCATTACTTCAATGCACCAAATCTCCAACCTGTTAAAGCAAGGACTTGGCACGACACAATGAAGCTTTTATGCTACATACTGTTTGTCACTTTGCACAATGAAAGTTGAGGAACAGACAGATATGTAAAAAGCTCAGTATGCAGAAGCGGATGGAGGAACCTGTCTCTGAGGAATTGGAAGTACCACTAGCTAGTACTGATGAAAGGAGAAGGAAGATCTCACAGGTTGGGTTGGAACAACACAAACAAAAGGACAGCAATAGTGCCTTCTGGTGGTGATGTTTTTTATGTCGTGATGTGTGATGTGTGTATTTTGTCTCCGCTGTTTCTGCGAGCAGTATTTCTGCAAGCAAGCCGGGTATAGTCGTTGTGTTGACGGTGGAGGTCAGACTGACCGTGCCGGTGTCTTTTGGTAAATATAATGTGCTTGATTCGGACGTGAAAAAATCGTTGACTCGTACAGGTTTCGAGGGACGTTGATCAGCAAGACGGGAGACGTAGGGCGTTTCTAGCTCTTCCTTAGTCTCAATTTCTGTCGTGTCGATTGAGGCGCGTCGCTTCAGTGAAGTACACGGTTGACGGACGGAGCGAAGAGTGTCGACAAAGAGGGTGGAAGATTTGGAGAAGACATTGTTCGCAATGGGAGCTTGTGGGATGATGGAGACGATAGAAGGAGCTTAGCTGCTCGGTCAAGACCGTCAGCTTTTTTGCTTTTTCTTTTGTCTACATCCCACCGCCTTTATCAAAAATCCTCCGTCGAGGTCCACTGTCAAGGCTAACAAAAAATCCTCCGTTGTGGTCCTCCGTCAAGGTTGTCAAAAAATCCTCTGTCAAGGTCGGCATCGAGCCACTTTCCGTGTGCAACATGTCGTACGTTTATTCCTCCGTCGAGGATAAAACATCAAATCCTCCGTCGAGGTCCTCCGTCGAGGTTAACAACAAATCCTCCGTCGAGGTCCTCCGTCAAGGTTAACAACAAATCCTCCGTTGAGGTCCTCCCTCGAGGCTACAAAAATCCTCCGTCGAGGTCCTCCGTCGAGGTTAACAACAAATCCTCCGTCGAGGTCCTCCGTCGAGGCTACAAAAATCCTCCGTCGAGGTCCTCCGTCGAGGTTAACAACAAATCCTCCGTCAAGGTCCTCGGTCGAGGTTAACAACAAATCCTTAGTCGAGGTCCTCCGTCGAGGTTACAAAAATCCTCCGTCAAGGTCCTCCGTCGAGGTGACAAAATCCTCCGTCGAGGTCCTCCGTCAAGGTTAACATCAAATCCTCCGCCGAGGTCCTCGGTCGAGGTTACCAAAAATCCTCCGTCGAGGTTAACATCAAATCCTCTGCCAAGGTCCTCCATCGAGGTTATCTGACAATCCTCCGTTGAGGTCTATATATTGCCCTTCTAGCCGCATATGTTGCTCTAAACAACTGTTTTTCGCTCTCCGCGCTTAAGCCGTCTGTTTCTAATAACTATTTTAAAGTCGATTTTGGATCCGAGCCTTTCTTGTCTCTTTTGCTCTCGGCCTACTTTTTCCATGCGAATTTCATCCTTCCCTCTCCAAGATGGATCTCCCTTGCCTGGATATGTTTTTTACATCTTCTAGTGTTTATATATTACAGTTCTATCACTAACCACTAACCCCCCGAGCGCCTTTGAAGAGCATTTCCTATCCAAACCATAAAAACTTTTCCTTCCCAAATCAAAAACTTTTCTTCCCTTTATTCCCATTCACACTTGCCTCTCCGACTTGCTGACAGGCCACGTCGATGGAATTCCCTACACTGTAGTACAATCCAAACCAACTTTCACACACTTACAACAACATTTTCCAATTGCGTCCCTCCTCATAATTTTTGTTCTCAGAATTTTTACATCCAAATCGATTGACCCCACCTTCAGCAATGCGATTCCCTTCATTCTCTGCTATCAAGTCCCTCCCCACCGATGCGGACTATAATGCTCTCTTGAAGAACGGTTTCCATGGCTCGTCCAGCATGCCTGACTGCGCCAATGCTGTTACCTCGGCACTTGGTCTGATGTTCTTTGACCCCCAAGGAAAGCTCTCGACCGTTACCATCTCAAAGAAAGTCATCCTCGACAATGGAATGTCGGCCGGCACTTTCGCCTCCCTTCGAGACGACCTTGCCCAAGCAATTCCAGTGACCATTGACCCCAACGAACTCCCCAAACGGGTAATCGGGGTGGGCAACAATGGCCGCGCCGTCTCGTGCTGCGTCCCTCTTTTGAAGGACACCCAGTACCACCCAAGCAACGCCAAGAACGCTGACGACGCAGACCTGAAGACATCGACTTCACCGTCGAATCGCCAACCTTCTGTGCGGTCTCGGTTTTCTGCCCTCTTGTTCCAGGTAGCAAGATGCCACCGGATTTGGATCTTACTCAGGACATTCCCGAAGAAGTTCTTCTAGTCTTTTCACCCCACGAACGTCTGTGGGTCAAAGTTCATGCCTTTCTCTTCAAGAATACGAGTGGAAAAAGCCTTTTTGTTGATGAGACTCTCGTTGGCAAGACTTCCATCCCACTGGACCAGTTTATTGTCAACGAGCAGCCAGCTGCAATCTCCGAGAATACTCTTTCCACAGCATCTGGATACGAGTTTCGTGACGCCCGAACCGGCTCCGAATCCTTTTAAAAGTACATTTCAAGCTTCAACAGCAAGGTCGATGCGCTCTCACAAGCCCACGCCGATGTCGACGCCGAGCCAAGTGTTCCTACCGGTACTGTCCGACCAATTGATCACGCTAGCATCATCAAGGAGGCCATTTTGGCATCAAAAACCACGACCACCAACGACCCTGCGTCCGAAGCTCAAGAACGAGTCCTACTGTCCTGGCACATACTCTTTGGCCATTTCGTCACCCACCCGGATGGGAGTGTCGAATACGTTCTGGCTGATTGTCGTTCGACCGCTTGGAAGACCATCTTGAAGGCAAAACCGCAACTTGCCCTTCGTTTCTTCCACGAAGCCTTCGAGCAATCCATTAAAGGGCTCCAACCTACCCGCAATGCTTACCATGCTCTTTTCGACTGGGATGTCCATCGCGTCCAGGCAGCTGGGATGGCGGCGATCCAGGGAGCCAGCTTTACCACCAGATCTCTGGTAATGAACCAATTCGATGCACTGTCCTGCTTTAGTCTCCTCCAGTTCCTATTTTCCGACAGGACCGACAAGGACTTGGCTTCGCATATTAACGAGGATGAAGAAGGCTGCATGCAAGAAGACATGGGTGAGCATGTCACAAAAAGGGCCTCCAAGAAGACCAAATTGTACTCCAAGGGTCGCTGCGCCTCCGTTGCCGACATCAAGAGCACCATCTCCAACGTAGCACAACTTGCTGCCTTCGCAACCGACAATTTCTCCATGTCCAACAACACACCCTTTATTCTGGAATTGTTCGACACGGTCATGGTTGCTTTGTCCCTGCCTGACGCCGTTCAGTGGCAGCATGTGATCGACCTCACGGATGTCGCTGTCCACATCCTCCATGACCTTCAAACCGCCTTCCAGGTCATTGCCTCCGAGGCCAAGGACTTCACTCTCCACGCTGAGGCACGACCACTGGGCACCATTCAACGTGCAGAGCTATTCTCTGGAGCCAGAGCCCAAACGCAGCTATTGCTGGACAAGATCGACGAAGGACTACAAAATTGTCGCCGCCCCAACTACCCCAGGACATCCGCCCTGAGTGCCCTGATTTCTTCCACCAAGGCCCCCGACGCTTCGCCTTCCGGCAAGCAATCCTCCGAGTCACTAACCTCCAAGCAAGACACGGTCACTTCACCTGCAAAAAAGCCAAAGCCTAGCAGTGAGGAAAGCAGCACTAGGGGTATGCTGATCTGCACTTCCACCGGTCGGCGATGCCCGACCAAAAAAGGAAGGTCAACGGGGTTGAGAAGACTGCGTGCGTGAATTTCCTCTTCCGAGACTTCAAGTGCACGAATACTTGTTGCCCTCTGCTTCATCTCCATAAGAGGGTGTACCAATCTCGTCCTGCTGGCGAGCAGGAGTCCTCCAAGGCCTGGGTCCAATCGACTCCAAACGTCAAATGGGCTCCTAGGCAAGAACTACGCACTGGTTAGTTTTCTTTTACTTAAGCACCTTTCTTTCTTATCACAACTTTGCTTTTCCACTTACGTCCTAGTTCATTTCCTTCTCTCTCATGGTTGATTGTTGTTACCCCCACCAAGTGGCGGCCGCATCAGTAAGCACTCTTACCCGCCAGGTCAACTACTATTCGTCTTGTTCCGCACCAACGTCACATAGCGTTGATCCACAGGACGAGTGTGCTCTCCAGGACTATGCCCCAACTCGGACGGTTTTCGACGAGCTTGACCCTGCGGACATGCTTGTTGCGGAACGATTCCGCCATATTCTGGAACAGGGCGCACGGGTAACACCTACCTTTACTCGGTCGGAACAATCCCAATTTCTTCGAGATCTCCAAAGTAGAACTGCCCTCGCTGTGGAGTCACCATACGGTAAGGACAGTAAGGACAGTAATGACCGATGTTTCAAGACGGAAAGTACATTTCGCCATACCTTTGTTTTTCTTTACAAGAGCGGCTACTTGGACACAACGACCGGCGATCGCTTGGGCAAGGCCTTCTCCGGAGCTTTACTTCTTTGTCTGTTACTCAAGGGCCACGAGTTTGTCGACTTTCGGCCACTTCGTTCCGTCCTTCCTTCTGATACACCAATGGGCCAAGTCATGCACTGTTGGAGCCGGATGTTCACCGCCTGTTTGCTACATTACAACTTGGACGTCGCTACTGCCGTTCGCTATGTTGGGAATATACATACAGGGGCCCATTGTGATTGGAACGCTTTGGAACCAGAGCTACGTGCAGCATCAGTCGATGACGGTCTTGTTGCAGATTTACGGCGCGTGCTCGTTGACGGTTGTCCAAATTATGTCAATGCTACGTCGTCCGAGAGGAATCGGCGATCCTTCGCCAAATATGGAAATCACGACTTGGTTTATACCAATGTCAAAAAAACACAGAAAGCAGTCCAGAAGGATTTCTCCCGATCCCACAGCCTTGTTGGCAATCCTCTGTTGACATCTTTCCTACCGGATACACAGCAGATACCAAAAGGCCTCGGGGTTGTCCCAGGAAAGAGTGATCGTCAAATCTGTGATGGCACTTTTCGCCCTTTGCTCGAGTCTATCGCTCCCAACGATATGACAACCAAAGATACGGAGCACAAGGTCGAATTTCCAAAATCACTTTGGAACCATCTGGCATACATCTACAATGCTCGGATCAGCTACAAATCGGAGGAACTTTACCTTGGTGACGACGACGTCTTGGGCGCCTTTCGCCACGGGAAGTGGAATCCAAATGTGATTGGCATGCATACGTTCTCCATTTTTGGTTTCCTGTTTTTTGCACTGGTTTGACATTCGGTGGCAGTACCTGTCCGTCAAATTTGGAGATTATAGCCTTAAGCCGCATGGCCCTTGCACGCTTTCTTTGGTCACAAGCTTCTACGATTGCTAGGGTGCTCCTATACCTTCCGGCGATATCGACATCACCTGAACCCACACCTGACGAGATCGCACAGTTCACCCCAGCGGAAGCAGACTCCATCAACAAAGGTGTCTTCAATCCGGACGGATCTCGGATCCCACCCAATTTCGACCACCATGTGGATGATTGTCTTTATGTTGATGTCGCAAAGACACTGAGACAGACCATAGCTTCCAGTGTTTTGGCTCTGTATCTGATCCTCGGTTTCCCTGATGCTGGAAAGGGGATTCGAGATTGGGTGTCATGGGAGAAGTTCACTACTACTTTCTCTCATCGTCGACACTGCCTTGGCTGGTTGATTGATTCCCGCGCCCTTACGGTGAGCCTACCATCGGAGAAAAGGGATCGTATCATCCAACGGCTTCGGACCTTTCTACAGAAACATCGTCTGACCCTTCAAGAAATCGCAGAACTCCTCGGTCTGCTTTCGAACGCAACGACAGAGGACATTCCCACCCTGTTGGGCAATGGCGCTTCCATTGATTAGCCCCACTGCCCAGTAGGCAAGCAAGTCTCAGATTTCCCGCTTTACGGGATCATTGGTATTCCGGGATCCAGAAGTCCCGCTTTAAAACACACACTGCAACACAGGAGCGGCCTGAAATGGCAGACTTGCTGGGTGGAGTGGGGGAAAAAGTGAATTCATCCATCAATTAACCCTAACCCTAACTTCAACCAATGTCCATAAACTAAGCTGTCATTGCTTACTGTAGATTTCGACGGGATTTTTCCTTGACTGGATGCTGAAGAATTCCGTACGGCCTTCGTCCGTATTGAGCATATTGTGATCCATCGTATCGAGCTTTTGCTATTTGTTCGATCGGAGCTACAGTCTACAGTACAGTACCTGGTACTGTACAGAACAGTTTTTGGCTTTTGAAATGGCCTCTCCACAAACAAAACCACAATGAGCAGTGGACAGAGGAGAGAATCAATTTTGGAGCTTGCGAAGCTAATGGATAGTACCGTCCGAGTAAAATGCCTTGGTGGCCGGGAGCTACAGGGTACACTCCGAGGATACGATGAGCTTGTGAACCTGGTGCTCGATGACTGTGATGAATTCCTGAGAGGTATGACAAGTTGCTGGAATATTGCTGTGCGCAAAAACGCAATCTAACACCGCAAGAAGACCCTGAAGACTCAGAGCGAATAACGGATAAGTCTAGAAGACTTGGACTGGTCGTTGTTCGTGGGACCCAGGTGTCGCTTGTGTCTCCCCAAGACGGTGTTGAAGAAATTTCAAATCCTTTTGTTGCCGCAGTTGGGGAGTAACTTTTGTGGCAATACCAGGAAGTACAATGCAGAGCAATACCAGTGCAGTGCACGTACTGTAAGAGGACTATATCAATGACACTACTTTCCTAAAAGGCGATTTGCAAGATCACAACGGTGAACAGGAATAGAGGCTATCTATTTTAACTCTAGCTCATCCATTTAGCCAATCGTCACCTGCTAGCACTTGATTTGGTTCTTAGAGGTTCGTTGACGAAACAATCTTCTGCACTCTTTCCAAACTCCCTCCTGCTTGAGCCGATCCTGGTTGAAGCAATTTGCAATTCTCTTGAGCATAAGGTGGATCGACTTGGATTTGATTCAATACAATGACTGATTCCGCTTTCCAGACGACTTCATTGCAAGCCTTGAGTAAGCGATCGAAGACAGCTTGCCCCCTTGGCGAAGCCTAGAAAAATAGATAATTTGTTAGAAGTATTAAACTGCCCAAAACCTTGCTTCGAGCTTCATTCATTTCCTACCTTTGGATTCAAATGACGCAAACTTCAGTATACAGTGGCCCCAAATTCGTAAGTTCGGAATTCAAAGTGCAATAATCAACAGTAGTTTGAAGAGAACTTACCTCTCTTGCGCAAGGCGGATGCCCCGTTTTTCTCTCTCGTCCAGAGCCTTCTTTGAGTGCATCATGTTGCCAGACTGTAGCGACTCAGTGGTAGCCTTTTGTAACAATTTTGATTCTTGGATCGTTCCTGCAGTGATAATTTTTATGTCTCCTCTCTCAATCAACACAACCAAACCTGCAACTGGATCTGTGCAGTAGACTTCTCCACTCACTTTGTCACCATTTTGCAGGGTGAATTCCCATCTAGACGTCATTGGATAAATCGAGTGCATTGGTTCATTTGAACCCGTTCTGCTCACCATTGCTGTTCACAATATCTGCTGCAGAAAAAGCGAAGAACGAAACTCTGCGCAAGAACGTTAATGCAACAACAAGTGGTGTTGCTGACAGCTTTGTGTCGAAAATGACGACTGAAACTTCCCAAATTTGATGTTTTGACATTCAAAATCCCCCAAAAGATCATTTTCTATAGTGATCGTATTGATCGGCGCTTTTGTGACAGCAATTCAATTTTCTGATTCTCATCAACTCAGCACATCGTTCTTCGACAACGAAAGGGACCGTCTCAATTTCTCTTCAAGATGTACGCCATTAAAATACAAACCTTCACCTACATTATTGGAAGTCTAGCTACCAGTACCAGCGGATTATTGATCCCGACCCCGTCCCTCAGGAGCTCATTGACAACGACAGCGCAAACTCGTCAATCCCCCCTAAGACAGACTAACGACGATGGGTTTTGGTCACAACAACGGGATCTTATGGATAGCCTTATAGAGAAAAACGACAATTCAATCAGAAGTGAGCAGCAGGAACTTTTTGCCAAGCAAAGATCTGCACTGGTTGATGATACTTTGTTCTTTACGTGTTTGATCTTCTGTCTGTTGTGGGTTGGCTGTGAAAACCCATTTCTTTCGGTTTCGTATGTATTTGGGTCGCTTTTTGGTGTTCTATATGCATATGGACTGGGAAAATACGTGGAAACCATCGGTGGTTCTGCTATGGATGCCGAGCTTGCCAGTGGGGCGGGTGTTGGGCAAGCTCGATTCGCGTTTCTTATTCTGCTGGTGATACTTGTTGGAAAGCTGCGATCATTTGGCGTTGTCGAAATTCCGTCAATTCTTGGCTTCTTCACGTATCAGATTGCAAGTCTGAGCCAAGGGATTCGAGAGATAGAAACATAGATCAAATAAACGTGAATCCGCTAGAGGGAGAGTACATCACCCATACTAATTCAAAACGATAAGAGAAGACTGGGAATAATACAGCTCCGTTTCTTTTTGGTTGAGTTGTCCAAACGGAATTGTCAGATGCGATTTTGTAACAATGGTCTCGTTTCTGTGGAGTAATAGAAGTGTACCGGTACCGAATATATATAACTGAATCATTAATTGGTTTTTATGCTACTGAATTGAATCCCCCGTGTCGAGTTGACTCGATGGACTAGAATGAATGGCTATCGCCAACCAATAGCTTATAATTTTGATTATCTCCCTTTTACAACACTGTAACTAGTCAAACCCCTTTATCGCTCTGTTATCGTTCAATAACGGGCACATTGACTCACTACTTCTAGAGTATCCAACTGCCGGTGTAATACGGCTGTAGAGGCCAGGAACTATGCTGCTTTTAGTCAGATAAGTTTGAACCACGTTGAGGCATTTTTCAAGAAAAAAGTTGCTCTAGTCAATCATGTCAGGGGACAGATTGGCGCTCCCACTGTTGGTGGGGAAGTACAAACAAGATGCAAGAATATCTCCTGGGTTACAGAGGAATTTTGTGGGTACCTTTTCCAAGGAAAGAATTGAATGCAATTCTCTCAAGTCATCTGTCAATGGGCAGATTGGCGCTCCCATTCTGTTGGTGGGGATTTGGAAAGGTAGACCAAGAAAATCGGTCTGCTGTATCTTTTCCAGAGAAAGGAACAAGACAAATAAGCTGTACAACATGGAGGAAATGCGAGCATTGGGGTTGTCCTTCACCAGGTCAACCGTCAATAGGGTGGTAGAATTCGAGCGGGTGGTTGCCTCCAGACCTTCCTGAGCGTGCTCAGGTGCAGTCCTTGTCGATTTCAAAGCCATCTCTTGTGATTTTGCTTCATTTGAGCCCATGGTTGTTGGCCACTTCTGATGGGCAGCGCAGACATCATAAAATAGGATTGTTGTTGTGTGTAAATAGTTGAAAATTTTGTTCTGGTTCCGACCTTGTTTTGTGGACCATCCAATTGAGAATCTGTCCAAAGATTGATCAATGGTTGGTGGAAACGCCGCTATCAAAGCATGCCAAACAATTTCAACAAATTCCATGGGGTCATTGCTTGGATTGAGTTTCTTGGGAGAGGCAACAAGCGGCTGTCCTTTCAGTGCGCCATCCTCGGCGATTTTGGAAGGAGGGGGTTGCTTGTGTCGGCTCTTGGGAGGTATCAAAGCATGCCAAACGGTTTCAAACAGTTCCATGGGGTCATCGCTTGGATCATCCTTTACCAAGTCAACTGTCAGTTGGGTGGTCGAATTGGAACGGATTTTTTCCTCCAGGCCTCCCTGACCTTGATCAGTTGCAGCCTTTGTCAAGTTCAGAGCCATCTCATCTGATTGATCATCATCAGAGCCCATGGTTGAAGTCCTCAATCAAGCACTTTTAACAGCACAATCGGTGTCGCTACTCGGTCATTGCGTAGATAAAGTACTAGAGAAGATGACTATTTGTTTTTGCAAATTGCGTGATTTTTGTTTTTTGATTTTTGAAACTGAATTTTATTGTGTACCGGTACCGAAGGTATTCATGTTACACTTGAATGAATGAATGAATTGATCCTAGATTTCGTGGCGCCGCCTCCACTCCTATGCTTGAACCACATGGTGCACAGTACTGTGCCATAATCTACTGCACATGCTACTTACCTACAAGAAGCGAGTAGGTTTGGCACAACAAGAGCAAGGTACTAACAAGTCAGGGACTGGTTTGCACTGAGGTCGAATCATAGGAGGATGATTTGAAAGGACATCTATAAACTGAATCATTAATTGGTATTTATGCCGAGTCGGTGTTGGGTTGGCGGGTTGTGCCAGGTCGAAGATCATCTGACGTTGCCTGGCTAGAGAGCAACAGTTGATCGCTCTCTCACGGGAGACAAGGGGCAGCCAATGTTGACAATCTTCAAGTGATTTGTTGAGGACAGTTTTGCGGGAAGGTACTGGGATTGTTGGGGAATACCAATCGGATTGCATACTTCAGACTCTTAGTGCTTGGAGCATTGAGTATGTGCATTGCACTTCTTGCTTCCATCGCAGCCTTGACTTGTCTTGGAGTAGATCCTTCCTTGTTCTTTTGAACAGTTGCCATCTTTGAGGTCATTCCGAGTCCAGCATATCCATTCTGTTTGTTTGAAGAAAGTTCAAAATGGGGTTGATTGTTTATGTTGCTTAACTGGCGACGATACATCGCACTTGTCTCTTTGGCACCTGGTTTGACATCCACTCCAAGTTGCTCCAACACATATACACCCTTACGATTCACAAATCGCATCTGTCTGTCTTCATCGCAATGCACAACAAAGGTATTGTCAACATCAGTATCCATGGTAATGCGGTATCCCGCAGCAATCATCTCGCGCATAGCAAGTACATTGGCAATTCCGTCTTCATCAAAATAGACTGGAGGCGGAAATTGTCCTAGACACCCTTCTTCATCAAGAACTCTGCTGCCCACGTTAGTGTGCATATCAAGCTCTTTCTCATCTTGACGTAGTCCATGCATGAGTTCACCATTACAAATGGTGGTGTTGGTGCAACCACTGTCCATGATGACGTGACTGAGCAAACCAAACGGATCTCTTTCGATTCTGCGGCTTTGAATAAACTGCATACCTCAATCTGCTTCAGTAGCAAGATCTGGTAAGTCTTCATTTTCACTAGCATAGTAGTGCCAGCCAGTCGGCTTGAAGTTAGACATTTGTCGTACCATCAGGACATGTGCAGTATATGCTACACCACTGGTCCGCCAATGGAGCACTAACAAACACTGCTTGCGTTTAGCGCACTCGAACACCTGTAACATTATTATAGAACAGTAATCCACTTGGGAAATGAGACTTGTTTGCACCCCACTCCCAGTTGTTTAACAACTCAGTTTGAACCACACTTATGGGAGCTCCGCAACTCAAGCAGAGTCCGGGTTCCAATTGAACGACTTATTGTTGCTTACAGCTGACCTCCCAATTTGAAGAACCTGCTGTTTCCACGCCATGTCGAATCAAAATGCCCCACAGCACAACCCGTATCAAGCATCCAACGTGAAATCCTGGATCCGCTTCCGATTACAGAGTCCAATTGATACCCATATTGGAATTCCTTGAACTTGGTTGCACAACAGCGTGACCAAACTTTCAAACCACCATGTGTTCCACATGGTCCCGTTACAATCACGAGAACTATAGCTGCAAACGGCAAATTATCCACGTCGGCTTGCTCTGTTTTATCGCAAACTTGAAATTTCCAATGCTCTTGCCTCTTGGCACACTTGTCTTACCGCTGATGAAGCCTCGGCGAAAGCTACTTTCACTTCAATAGCTTCGGTCAAGACTGGCCTTTTCTTGGATTAAATATTAGATCATTCTCTACTTTAAAAGAACAGTAATCATATTCCGAAAAAACAAAAATACAAAACCAACACGCATATCCGGGTCCTCAAAACATCACTTTCGGTACTTCGCCTACACGATTTTTCTATAGCAAAACAAAACTCGCTCCTCCTTTTTGCATCAAAACTGACAATGGGAAAGTCGAAGAATAACAAGAAAGTGGCAATCGCTGCTAAAGCTGTTACTTCTTCTGCTCTTACTCAGGGTCACATCAGTTTTTTGCAAAAAAGCCGAGTCGAAACCGCCAAAATTCGATCAAAAAAGGAATCCGACAATTTGGACCCTCCGATCGCCAACAACAACAACGACATCGATATGGAAGAGGTCAAGCATCCACTGCAGTACGATCGCATCGTCCCGAACATCGATTTGTCTCAGTGGAACCTCCAGACCCTTGCCCACTTATGCACAATCCACCGTGCTTGTGGTCGACGCAACAATAAAAAAGAAGTGGTCTTTGCAAATGAGCTGTTCTCGGCATGGGAGAACAAGCCCGAATTTCACTAGCCTTGGTGTGAAGGGTATTCAGAAAATTTTGTAGACCCTCCGGCGACTGAATCCTGGGAGGAAGCATCGGAGAAGCTACTACAGATTTGTGATGGGGACTGGAACTTGGTCGAGCAACGCATTCGAGCTGCGCATGACCGAGACATCAAGGACGAATTTATTGGGAATGACCGGGAGCTCGTCGTCTATGTCCGAGGACTGATTCTTGGGCTGGCGGTACAAGATCCTCTGGTGATTTTTCCTTTGGACGACCCGATGGAGGAGACTACGTTTTTCAATCGGTATTGGGATTTTACTTTGGAGGTCGAGCCTCGTTTACTACTGGAACTACGTCCTCTGGCTAAAGTGTGGGCCATTGAGGTTGAACTTCTAGGCCACCTGTGGACCGACCCCGACACAACGACGGTAGTAACGGAATTGGCTGAGCGTCGCTCAGCAGCCAAGGGCCGAAAACGTGAGCGCAATCTGGACCCATCAATGGAACGAAAATCAGCTCCCATTGACCCTCGCTCTCCTGCGCGAGGGTTCTTTCCGGATGCTACTCCAAAACCAGTTCGCGACTCTGTTGCCCCCAATAAGGATGATTCGGTGATGATGGACACAACGGGTCCATCGGTAATTAGCCCCACCAATAAACCAGTCAACGGCAAGTTTGCTTATTGCTCCGACAATGATGGGTCGGAGTCCATTGAGTCGGCTCCAGACTTTTCTGCACCATCGAATTCGGACCAACCTCCTACTGAAGTGGTTGTGGGGAAGTCACCTGCCCCAGCTCAGCGGGCCAACGACCCCTCGACAACAGTATTGTTCGACTCTCACTTGTCGAAGACTGAGCCTCCCGAGCCTCCTCGACCTTCAGCTCCTCTGTCCGTGAAGAAGCAACTCACTTATGTTGCCGCCTCACAGAAGAAGACTGCTATTCGGACCAAGTACTTCTCTGAAGAAATGAAAGCCCGTGAAGTGACACAGATGAATTTGACTGGGCTTCCTCGCTCGAACGCCCAGTTCCTCTGCGCTACAATCAACTATGAATGGAATGGCGACACATCTGAGGGTGGGTCTATTGAAAAGTGTTTCACTGAAGAAATGGTCTCGGTTCTGTCTATGGCTATGGACAACGCTGAGGGCGACTTGGTCATTCTTCCGGTGAGCGAACTCCGTGTACGGGACAAGAAGTTGTGGCTGACCTCTAAGGAGAAAGTGGAGGAGCTCACCTACAAGAAGCTCAAGCCCTACATTGACTGGTCCTGGAATAATGGCGCCCGATTTGGCTACAACGCTAAGAACCCCGGCTCCAAGACTCTTCGCACCCGCATTCGCGTCGCCCACAATTCTTCTCTGGACGACATGTCCCGACTACTGGGTCAATGTTTCGAGATCACCGGCACGCATGCAGGCGTCTTCCGTTCCCCGCTGCAAGTTAGTGATCCTGTCCGAATCGGTTGGCTACTGAACTACCCCATGGGGATTGGGAGAGCGGCACTTGAACGCGAGCTCATGCGTCACTTCACCTTCAAGAGAGCTATAGCCCTAGAACCTGCGTGGCCACAGAACCCCGGTACGGCGGGCCAAAAATGGATGCCCTCCAAGGGTCCAAAAGCGTGGCACATTTGGGTAGCTGCTTCTGACGTGGATAGAGTGGCACGGGCCCTCTTTGCATGGCTCAGGCCGGAGACAAAGAAGTGTCACATGCCGTTTGGTGCCCGGACTCAGTTTGTCTACGACTGGGGGGCCGTTACGAAAGGACACCTCGGTGACCTCGCGCAACCAGGGGGGCAGTGGAATGGCATCATTGGGAAACTCATCAACACCCATGACACTACCTCCCAGACCTGCACCTCCCTGGCTCCACTGTTTCCTATCCAAGGCATGCTGACCAAGGTCTTCATTCCCAAGTACTGCAAACAGGGCAAGGGCAAATCCCTCCTCCAATTCCTCTACGCGATTTAGTGCATACCAGCGGTCAAGAAACCTCTACCTGCTCAGCCTGAACAATCAGCCACACAGGATGCCGACACTCCAGACTCTCCATCGCCACCTTCCGTGTCTTCTACTCCTCCAGACCTGACACCGACTAACTCAAGTGTAACTGCCCCCACCGCAGCTCAGCCAACTCTACCCGCCCCATCCACCAAGCGTTCCAGTCGCAAGCGGTCTAAGAATCGCCGGGCCAAGCAACCTCTTGAGAAACCTACAGAGACGCCTCAGGCTACTCCTCCCACCCCTCTTCCACGGCCTACTCCTGCACTGAAGTCCACACCCCAGTCAGCAACCAACCCTCCTACGGAGTCTTCCGCTTGGGCGAAACTTTCTGCATCTGAGCAGCCCCTGGTCACTGAGGCATTTGATCGCAGTGCATGGCTGGCGGCAATGGATGCGGAACTGAACCAGGGCCCAGCAGGTCTCTTCCAAATGATCCTACCAGGCCCAATCGATGGCTTCTATGTGTTTGTGGTGCGCCAAAAGTTTGCCTGATTGACACAGGAAGTTCTCAAGAACCTGGCGGCCTTCCTTATTTCTCACCTGGAGTTATGGCAGGACCTGAAGCACCAGAGGAAGACATGCCGCACCTGGCTCTGCTTGGACCACTATAATCGAACGGTTACCAACGCTATGACCTGGGACCAAAGCCAACATTGTGCAATCTTGGAGTATGACCGGGACGTCGATTTGGACCAGCAAGTGGAGAAGGATGATAATGAGTGGATTGAGAAGCTCCTCGCGGCAGAGCAGGCTTCTCCGGAATTTGAGGGCACCATCACGATTGACCTGTCGATGCCAGCTGCCAAGGATATGGATGACAGGGCTACAGTAGGAATCGCGGCAAATATGGCAGCACTATTGGAGAACATGAAAGCGGATGTCAACGGCCTTTGCACGGAATTAGAGATTGCGGCGGAAGAACTGGCTCAAGCTAAGGATGCGGAGGCTGCCAAGGATGCTTGTATCCTTGAATTGGAGGCCAAAATGGCTGAACAAGCATCGGTCACAGGAAAGCACAGTTCGTCAAGCCCCTCCTCCAGCAAGGCAACATCATTGGCTGACAGTGGGGGTGCCCCCCCCCCCCGGCGGTGGTCCCTAACCACCAACGGTCCCATCACTCACGGTTGCAGCGTTTGACGGAAGGCCAAGGTCAAAATCTACACAACCAAAACACATCCAGCCAGGTGGCCCACTCCTCGCTGGATGCTTACTTAAACTCTCTCCCTCCCGGTAACTACTTTGGCGATGACTCACGCCAGAAGTCTCCTCGCGTTACCCGGGTCCTTTTTCAAAATGTTCAGGGTCTTCCATTTCCTATGACACATGAGAAACAGAAAGGGCTCTTCAAGTGTTGGACGGATGAGAGAGTGGGTATTGCACTGCTGGCTGAAGTTAACCTTCAATGGTCAGCAGTGCCCAGAGGACACAAGTGGTTTGATCGGGTCAAGTCCTTCACTAACCAGGGACATTTCTCTTCAGTATCTTACTACGAACACCAGGAGTTTCCAACTCCCTCGGCGCATCAATGGGGCGGATGTTCTGCTACATTACTCCACAAGGTCGCGCGCCGTGCAAAGTCAGGCGGCAAAGATGAGTCAGGGCTAGGCAGGTTCTCATGGATCAAGATCCGGGGCAGGGACATCCGACAGCAGGAGTCTCAGACTGATGGGCCCCCGGCTGGTCCTTTAGATCTTGTGGTGGTCTCTGCATATCAAACAATGGAAAGCGGAAGGGTGTGAGATTCTCCTTGGGTTAGATGCAAACGAAGATGTCTCCTACAACTCTCCCTCTTCCTTCCGCCAAGAGATGCGGTCTGCAGGCCTGACCGTGTTAGAACAAAGCAAAATGTGCTCTATCGTGAGTGCTTTTAGCGCTCAGAACAAACTCTCTGCAATCTAAATTCGTAATCGACTGTACAACACTTTCACGACAATAGTTCTCCTGTGTCTAGGTATACTTTGAGTGAAATTGTTCCTATTTGATTAATGTTTGGCTTGAATTGATGATTCAATCACAAAAGTGAGTTCAACAATTTTCCCTTGGAAAATCTCTTGTTTACAGAACTCAATTCGACTTCTACGACAATTCTGTGTTGAATGCAGTACTTTGGGATATCTTGCATTATTCCCTACTGCATCGTACACAACATCAATATTCCACTTGTACAGGATCTTTTCCTGTTTGTGTGGATACAGGTTGTCCGACAGACTTGCGCCCGGCATACTTGCGTCGAATCCCGACATCTTGCACGATCAAAGTCCGATCGCACGTGTCGAAAACCTCGTACTTGAATAGTTTCTTTTGGAACGTAAAAACTCATATTTCGTCATATCCCAACAATGAGAAACAGAAAGGGCTCTTTAAGTGTTGGACGGATGAGAGAGTGGGTATTGCACTGCTGGCTGAAGTTAACCTTCAATGGTCAGCAGTGCCCAGAGGACACAAGTGGTTTGATCGGGTCAAGTCCTTCACTAACCAGGGACATTTCTCTTCAGTATCTTACTACGAACACCAGGAGTTTCCAACTCCCTCGGCGCATCAATGGGGCGGATGTTCTGCTACATTACTCCACAAGGTCGCGCGCCGTGCAAAGTCAGGCGGCAAAGATGAGTCAGGGCTAGGCAGGTTCTCATGGATCAAGATCCGGGGCAGGGACATCCGACAGCAGGAGTCTCAGACTGATGGGCCCCCGGCTGGTCCTTTAGATCTTGTGGTGGTCTCTGCATATCAAACAATGGAAAGCGGAAGGGTGTGAGATTCTCCTTGGGTTAGATGCAAACGAAGATGTCTCCTACAACTCTCCCTCTTCCTTCCGCCAAGAGATGCGGTCTGCAGGCCTGACCGTGTTAGAACAAAGCAAAATGTGCTCTATCGTGAGTGCTTTTAGCGCTCAGAACAAACTCTCTGCAATCTAAATTCGTAATCGACTGTACAACACTTTCACGACAATAGTTCTCCTGTGTCTAGGTATACTTTGAGTGAAATTGTTCCTATTTGATTAATGTTTGGCTTGAATTGATGATTCAATCACAAAAGTGAGTTCAACAATTTTCCCTTGGAAAATCTCTTGTTTACAGAACTCAATTCGACTTCTACGACAATTCTGTGTTGAATGCAGTACTTTGGGATATCTTGCATTATTCCCTACTGCATCGTACACAACATCAATATTCCACTTGTACAGGATCTTTTCCTGTTTGTGTGGATACAGGTTGTCCGACAGACTTGCGCCCGGCATACTTGCGTCGAATCCCGACATCTTGCACGATCAAAGTCCGATCGCACGTGTCGAAAACCTCGTACTTGAATAGTTTCTTTTGGAACGTAAAAACTCATATTTCGTCATATCCCAACAATGAGAAACAGAAAGGGCTCTTTAAGTGTTGGACGGATGAGAGAGTGGGTATTGCACTGCTGGCTGAAGTTAACCTTCAATGGTCAGCAGTGCCCAGAGGACACAAGTGGTTTGATCGGGTCAAGTCCTTCACTAACCAGGGACATTTCTCTTCAGTATCTTACTACGAACACCAGGAGTTTCCAACTCCCTCGGCGCATCAATGGGGCGGATGTTCTGCTACATTACTCCACAAGGTCGCGCGCCGTGCAAAGTCAGGCGGCAAAGATGAGTCAGGGCTAGGCAGGTTCTCATGGATAAAGATCCGGGGCAGGGACATCCGACAGCAGGAGTCTCAGACTGATGGGCCCCCGGCTGGTCCTTTAGATCTTGTGGTGGTCTCTGCATATCATCCGAACAAGGTGGCCAAAGCACTGAAATGGTGGTCCAACGGCGTCCGCCTTACTGGTGGCGCCATCCGACCAGATAAATCCTTTTGGTATCTGATTGACTTCAAGTGGAATGCCCAACAAGGTGTATGGAAATTCCGGCGGAAGGGGGATTTCAAACCATCTCTTCTTCCCACAGGAATGTCGGAAATTGCGGTTGAACTGGATGATCTGGATGGCACTCCAGTGCATCTACAGTGGTTGGAACCGGACAAATCGGCGAAGACTTTGGGTATCCTGATGTCCCCCTGCTCAAACAGGAAAGCACAACTTGTGGTGATGCAGGGAAAAGCAAAAGCATGGGCGGATCAGATCCAACCTAGCTTCCTCCACCGATATGATGTCCTCCCTCTCCTTTGCACCACAATCCAGAAGACTTTGGAGTACCCCATGGCGCTCACCTTCTTCTCCCAATAGGAGTGGGATCAGCTCCTCTCCCCAGTGCTCAGGGCGGCACTTCCAAAGGCTGGTATCTGCCGCAACTTTCCTCGTGCTATGGTCTATGCCCCTATTGCACCTCAAGGAGTGGGTGTCCCTCATCCGTACGGTCTCCAAGTCATCAAGCACTTGGATATGCTACTTCGCCATCCTGCCAATAAGACCAAGACGGGCGCCTTCTTGGAGGCAGTCCTTCAGGCACACCAGCTTGAAACCGGTACCTCATACGGCCTCTTCCAACAAGTCTATGCCAACACCTCCATCCTGGCGTCTGACACGTGGGCAAAGCGGACCTGGGGTGAACTCGACTCTCTCTCCATCCACCTGGAGTTTGATTCCCCTTCTCTTCAGCCTCTACGCCAAGGAGACCAACTGTTAGTCGACCTGTTCATCGACTCTTTGGTGGACCAACTTACTTTGAAATGGCTCAACTGGTGTCGGATCTTCCTGCACGCAGTCACTCTTTCTGATATTGTGAATGCTGAAGGGACGGCGATTACTCTGAAAGCATGGAAAGGGCTAAGAGCGGACAGCTGTTCTGATTGGTACCAATGGCCCCGTACTGCTCGTCCGTCTAACCAATGGTGGACTGCTTGGCAGCAATGGATTTCTACTCACCTGACCGGCCACTCCAACCGACGCCGTCTCAGTTCTCCGTTAGGCCCATGGCATTCTGTTGACTTATCCTGGAAGTGGCAATACTCCCCCTCTACCAATACCCTGTCTTCCCTAGCCGTTCTCCAATCCACAAGAGCCGGGTCCTCCTCCACTCTACGGGCCCTAACCAACCAGCCGAACCACCTGCCCCCCCATCCTCCATCCTTGACCTCTTACAAAGCTAAAGTGGGCACAGCATGCGCTCAAATTCTCACTGAGGACCGCAGGGATATCATCTGGATCACCTGCCAAACCCCTGGGAAATTTGACGACCAGAGTTCCACGCGCAGCGAATTGATTGGCCTTATGGCCTCTCTCCTGGTGTTGGACTGGATGTCTCAGGTCGCCCACCTGAAACTCTTTGCCAGCCAACCATCGGTTGAGATGGCCTGCGACGGGCTCATAGCTCTTGATAAGTCCTTCTCCGAATTCCACCTGTCATCGTCTGGTGCCCAATTTGATCTGGCCTCAACCATCCGGGCCTTGCTTCGCCACCTTCCCCTCCAAGTTCATCGGCGCCATGTTAAAGGCCACCTGGACAAGCACCGGCCTTTCTCCCAACTGGACTGGTGGGAGCAGCGCAATGTGGAAGTGGACTCCAAAGCACAATCCTACCGCCGCCTGCTGGAGTCTACAGGCCGATCTGCCGCCTCCAACCCCCGCTTCTTCCATGAACCTGTGTCCTTGTTCATTGATGGCGTTAAGTCGTCCCGACTGGATCAGGCTCACATCATGGAGCTGGTCTCTCTTCCTGCCCTTCGTACGTATTGGCCCTCCAAGGACCGCCTCTCCAAGCAGTCCATCCGGGAGGTCAATTGGTTGTCTCTTGCACGCGCCATGAAGGCCCTCCCAGCAAATCTACAACGCTGGACACCCATGCATATCTCCGGTATGACAGGTGTGGGAAAATTCTTGGCCATTTGGAACCGTTCGACGAAGAGCTCCCGCCCCAGATGCTCCTCCTGCCCCGTGGAAGATCACCTCCGTGTCCCCTGCTGTTCTGCTCCTACTGCAGCTGCAGAATGGTCAAAACGCCATCTGGCCTTCCGGACCTGGATGCAGACTCAGCATACTGCCCCAGAGATTGAAGCCTTCCTCTTCGAATACCTGAAGACAGTCTGTCAGACTTCCTTGGGCGTCCCCACCGTCCGAGCCTGGTCCCGCCATCCCCACCTCTTCCGAAGTGCCATCTCTTCCCAAGCCACGTTTGGGGCCCAGGGTCTCCTTGAAGGCCTAGTGTCCCCCAACTGGAGACACCTGCAGGCCCTTCACTTCTCCTACATTGGCTCCAAGAAGTCTGCCAACCTTTGGGCCTCCCGCCTGATCCAACAACTGATCAGGATCGGGCACTACATGTGGAAAGACCGCAACCGGCTTGCCCACTCTGAAGACAGCTCCTGGTACACGGCTCGCAAGCGGGAGATTGACATCGGCATCCGCGAACAGTTCGCCATGGGCCTGATGGATATCCCCCCACGCTCGCAGTACCTCTTTCGGGACTCCCGCGAAACTGTCCTCAACAAATCACTCGAAGATCGTCAACATTGGCTGCGCCTTGTCTCCCATGAGAGAGCGATCAACCGTCGCTCTCTAGCCAGGCAACGCCAGATGATCTTTGACCTGGCGCGACCCGCCAACCCAACATCGACTCGGCCAA